GGATAGAAATGGAAAATACTGCGTTTATATTTTATTTGTCTTAATACAATTCAAGATGTTTAGAAAATACATAAAATATAAAAACTATAATAGAAACATAAAAACTAATATCCCTATAAGTAAAAAAAATATATGTATGTATGAATATACTTACTATATTACTACTTACTATTTGAAATATATTCCGTAATATGGAACCCATTACTACTTCCATGAGACCATCAAGATTACAAAGATTTGGTTTCCTTTGTAAAACTAAAACAATCTTGTGTTATATGAATTTGATTTCACATCACATCCTTTACAGATCTCAGTCACAAACATCTGAATAGAATATTACTGTCATTTATGTTGAAAAGTTGACACACTATAATCAGCATAAGCATGTTCTGTTTTTAGCTTTATCCATTTATGTCTCAGAAGATCAAAAGCTTTCTCTGATTCTAATTAAGCCATATTTGCTAAAATATGACATATGCAATTAGCTGGAACTCAGAATTGTAAAAAATAGTCCTAGATTTTTTGTTAAATAAATGCTATTAACAAATGTAGCCATGGTTACCAAACAGTGGTTCTCAAACTTCAGCATGTGTCAGATATACCTGGCAGGATGGCCCACACCTTGAGTTAATGATTCTGAAGATCAGGGGTGCGACTAAGAATTTATATTTCTAAGTTGCTAGATGATGTTGCTGTCTGACAACCACTTCCTCAACAGAATTCTCCTCTAATAAACATTCTACACTTGTTCTTATACTTATTGCTGCCTAAATTTGGACCTTGGGGATATATAAGCTTAGACCATGTATAAAAATACATTTACATGTACTTTATTCATTCATATATCTGCAGATGTATTTGCCTGTGAGGTTTCATCAGCTTTTAAACTGGTATGATATACTCTCATAACTGAATGTATGAGATCATGAAACTAGGAATGTAAAAGAACTAAAGTATATTTAGGATTAACATTAGTAAGACAGTGTTACAGGAATTTCTAGTGTTCATTTCTTCCGAGAAACATCAATTTAAACTATTCTCTGTGCATGAAAATATCTGCACAAGAGCCAAGTATTCCATGTAAAGGAATAAAACACCTGGATGAAGTAAAGAAATGAGAAAAGACACAATGAGGAGAGCAGAAAAAAACGGATCTATTATGTCCCCAATCCCCTTCCCCAAGCCTGGGCAGTCCAGCTCAGAAAGAGACACCATCCTCATGGGAGGAGGGGAGTGAGGTGAACACCCAACTTAACAGACCCCAGAGCTGGCCTGTCTTGGCACCAGGATGACTCCCAAGGCCCTAGGTGGGTCCTAGGGTACTAGGGTCCCAGAGGGCTCCCATGGACCCAGGTTCCTGGCCCATCCTGGCACCTACAAGCTCCCACAGCCTCAGACACCAGATTTCTAGCAGGTTCTACAAACTGGGGCTCCTAGTCCATCCCAGCACTTGTTGGCTTTCATAGACTTCAGGTTCCCAGCGTGCCTCAGTGCTAGGCCAGCACCTACAACCTCAAGCTTCAGGCAGGCTCTCACAGAGCGAGATTTCCAGCATGATCCAGAATCAAACTGGCCCCAGCAGCCCCAGGTTCCAAGTGGACTCCGTGAACCCAAGCTCCTGGCCTGCCCCAATGCAGATCCAACCTCCAGGACAGCCACTGAGGCCCCAGCCGATAGCTGGCTCCCACAGACTCAGGCTATTGGCCTGCCCTAGCACCAAGCCAGCCCTCATGGCTCAGACCTCTGCGCTGGCTTCTGTGAAACCAGACTCCCAAACTGTTCCAGCACTGGGGCAGCTCCAAAGACCTAGATGCCAGACCCAACCTGATGGCCCCTTGCACCTAGTTGGTCCGCATGCACCTAGGCACCAAGCTAGTCCTGTGGACCCACACACAAGGCCTGCCCACCTGCTGACCCAGCCACCAGATCTGCCTGCCCCCAAACTCCAGCATCAGACCTGCCCATGGACCTCACCAGATGACCTACAGATTCAGTGTAATCTCCATCAAAATCTCAGCAAGTTATTTTGTGGATATTTACTAAGAGATTCTAAAGTTTATATGGATTGAGAAAAAACCCAGAATAGCCAACACGAAACTGAAGAAAAAGAAGAAAGCTGGAGGACCTGCAGACTGGCAACCAGTTTCTGTAAATAAAGTTTTAGTGGAACGCATTTCTATTCATTTACATGATGCTTATGGTTGCTTGTGTGCTGTAACAACAGAGATGAATAGCTGTGAAAGAGATCATATGGTCCAAAAGTTAAAAATATATATCTGATCTTTCACATGAAATTTACCAATCCCTGCACTAGGAATCCAATATGCAATAAACACATATAATGCATTTCCAGTCATCAAGAATTCCAGAGTCAGGAACTATCACTTATTAATATATTATGCTGGGACAGATTACATATTGCTATTGTTAATGGAAATGAAAACAGTAGTCTTGAATTTTTCATCTTGGATAATGAAAGGATAAAAGTAATTTCTCAAAATAAAATTACATGTTCTATCTTAATATTAGATTAAACAGTTAACATTGCACGCAAGACTTTGTAAGCAAATTATATTTTAATGGTGCAATGAAATTAAACCGTTTTATTATTTAAAATATTTTTTCAGTTAGTAATGACTTGAACATTAAATTACATATCCTGGAAAAATTTCAATCAAAAAGATAGTTGGGGTCTACAGTGTTTGATTTTGATTTTCAAATATATAATATTCTATCATATACAATGTTGATTCAATAACAGTGAAATGAATTATTTTTTAATGATCTTTAAACATTTTCCAGGCAAAGAAGTCAAGCCCAAGTCTCCACGTATGTTATGTGCATGCCAAAAAAAAAAAACAAACTTAAATGCATGCTTTACTCATCCTCTGATTCTATTGTTGAGTGTTTTGCATAAAGTCAAAGGCTTAGCTATCTTGTGCAGACAATGTGCTGATTATCTTACTCGTATTTCTAAGAATTTCCTATGCTGAAAATTTCCTTCATCCTTTATTCCCTGGATGTACAAACCAATATCTTTCATTAACTTCTCATTAAAAATCTTAGTTCCCATTTCCATTTTTCTTAAAATAATTTTTGTTGTAATTGATAATGGGAACCTTTGCTTGTGTTTATATTAATATGCTGCAATCATAAGAAGAAAATTAATATGGAAGATTAAAAATGAGTAGTATATAACAGAAATATACATGAGTACAGGAAATATATTTTTGTATAATCATCATTACTCATGTTTGCCCACGTTTTTAGAGCCACAAGTAAAAAAAGAAGAGAAGCCAGGTATGTATATTTCATATGTAGATTCATACTTACATTTCGTATTTATAATAAATAGCATACCTTTTTGCAAATGTTGTGTCCTACTGCAAATATTATACCAAAATTTTATTCTTGATCAACTTTTTAAAATAAAACAAACATTTTTATCTACACTACCTGTTCCTAGAAAAAAAAATCCTATTTACAGAGATGAAGCCACTGAGAAATGTATATAGTTCAAAAGAAACTACTGACTGACTGACTATTTTTGCTGATTAGGACACAGACATCCTGTCAGAAAAGTAGCTGCTTTCACTCTTCTATTTTTTGCAGGGGAGGAGGGTGCTCCTGAGTCAGATGAACATTTCTGAGGGCTGCAAGAGGCAGCAGCAACTTTTTAAAAAGAAAACAAAGCAGTCTGATTTTTAAAATTTTGATTCACCTCCCAACTATATTAGTGTTACAGGGCTGCTATAATAAAATGCCACAAACTAGGGGCTAAAAACAACAGAAATGTATTCTCTCACAGTTCTGAAAACTAGAAGTTTGAAATCAAGGTGTCAGCAAGGCAAGTTTCCTTGTACCATGTAGGGAGGGTGCCTTCCTTACCTCTTCTGCCTTCTGGTATTTGCAAGCAATCCTTGGTGTCCCTTGATTTGGAGATACATCACTCCAATCTCAGCCTCTGTCATCACATGAACATTTCCTCCCAGTGTATCTTTATCTTTCTCTTTTTTTCTCCTCTTCCTATAAGGAAACCAGTTACTGGATTAAGAACTCACCCTACTCCCACACATCTTAACTAATTACATCTGCAATTGCCCTATTTCCAAATAAGGTCACTTTCTGAGGTACTGGGGGTCAGGACTGCAGCACATCTCTTGGGACATCACAATTCAACCTTAAAAGGTCCATCCTCTGGCCCCCCCCAAAGTTCATGTCCTTCACATGTAGCAAAATACATTCACCCCAATCCAACAACCCTAAAAGTCTTAACTGTTTTACTGTCAACCAAGTCCAAAATTTCATCAAAGTCCCAAATCTCCTTATCTAAATCAGTTATGGGTGAAACTTGGGATATGATTCTTCCTGCATAAAATTCCTCTCCATCTGTGAACTTGTGAAACCAGGAAAAAAATTACCTGTTTCCAAAATAAAATAGTTGTACAGGCTAAGATAGACATCTCCATTCCAAAAGGAAGAAATTGGGGGGATTAAAAGGGTTACACGTCCCAGGTAAATCCAAACCATAGCAGGGAAAATCCCATGGATGTCCATGGGTGTGCAGACCTGAGACTGTCCCCTTCAGCTCAGTGCGGTGTCCTCTGGAGCTGGCAGGATAACTCTCTGCCTTCTAGGTCCACTGGGGTGGCAGTCCTGCCCTCTCTACCCAAGGAGGTCCCATCAGCCCAGGCCTTTGAATCCGTGACTCTGCCCTGAGAGTCGTTACTCCTGCATTTCATCCTGTCTCTGTACATTTCTGTCCAGGCCAGCATTATTTTTACTTGTACACATTTTTCAAAACCATGACTAGTTTTGAATCCAGTTCATGGAGGACCAAGCCATAGGACAAGAGGGTCTTCTTCAGATCTTTCTGGATAATCACATTTCTGTTTCTGCCTTCTGCAGAGGTGGTAGGTTGGATTTATGAGTTTGTCCAGACACAAGGGTACACTATCTAGGTGGGATGAGAATTTTTTAAACCATCAAGTGCTGGTTTTGCATAACAGTTTACTCTTCAATTTATCTTCTCTTTCACGTTTTTAAATAAGCAACAAAGAGAAACCAGGCTGTATCTTCTACTTGGATTTCCTTAGCTAAATATCCGTGTTCTTTGCTTACAAGTCCTACCTTCCGCCCAACAGAAGAACACAATTTAGCCAAGTCCTCTGACACTTTATAGCAAAGATCACCCTTCCTCCAGTGTCCAATAACATGTCCTCTTTTCCCTCTGAGACCTCACCAGAAGCACATTTAACATTTCCTTTCTAGCAACATCTACTCCTGACAATATATGTTTTCTCTAAGATAACAGAGGCTTCCTTTACACCTGTCCTCAATTCTTTCTGACTTCTCCCCAGAATAGCCTTCAATGTCAGTATTTCTGCCAATTGTCTTTTCAAGGCAATCTAGGTTTTTTTTTAATCAAGTGCCTCAAAAAATCTTCCAGCTCCTACCCATTATCAAATTCCAAAGTCACTTATACGTTTATGTGTATTTGTTACAGCAGCACCCTATTTCCCAGTACCAAAAGCTATTATTTACCCTGGGTGGCTGGAATAAAGTATCACAAACTGGGTAGCTTAAAAAAAAACAATTTGATTTGTTTTCACAGTTCTAGAGGCTGAAAGTCCAAAGTCAAGGTGTGAGCAGAGCCACACTCTCTTTGAAGCCGTAGAGGATAATATTTCCTTGTCTCTTCTAGTTTCTGGTATTTGCCAACAGTCCTTGTTCCTTGGTGTGGAGTTGGCTCACCCCAATCTGCCTCCATCATTACATAGCTGTCTTCTCCAGTGTGTCTCTATCTCTGTGTCTTTTTTCTTCACTTTATAAGGACACCAGTAATATAGGATTAAGGCTCCACTCTACTCTACAGTGTGGCCCCATTTTACCTTAACTAATCACATCTTCAAAAAATCCTATTTCCAAATAAGGTCACATTCTGAGTTACGGTGAGTTAGGACTTCAACAAATCTTCTGTGGGACACAATTCAAGCCATAACTTGGTCTGAATTTCTAAATCACATCAAACCCAATTAGATACATTTCAAAAAGACTCTTCCAACTCCTGTCATTAAATCATTTATCTTATGTTGACACTGGAACAACAGTAAGAGACACAACAATAATCTTGAGAAAACAGAGAATTCAGGTTGAAATCAATTAGCAGTAGCAACAATTTAGTGGCAGACAAATGCATGTCATGATTCTAACCACTGTGTGTTTAAGATAGTCTGGTAGTGAAAAGCCAGCAGGGAACTGAAATAATTTTTACTAAATTCTGCTTTTTCAAATTATGGTAAATCAAGTAAAATAACTTCCCAAAATGAATTTGTGCTCTAGTCTATTTTTTCAGATACAAAAATCCTGTCTTTTGTTTTCCCTTCAGAGTCACAAATTAAAAAGGAAGCAAAACCAGGTAATAATACTTTTATTCCTAAATAGTTACAGAGCTGATTTTGCCTTCATTTTAGAACTACAAGAGGCGTATCTCCCACCCACCAGCAGGGATTCACCAGAGTTTTCTAGATCCTAGTTATTTCCTTACTCCATTGCTCACCATGGTTTTACAGTACTGGATTACGTGAAAGTGGGGCTATACCAGAGACAAAAACATCTAGAATACTGTTTTAAATGGACCTCAGCAGAAACTTCAGGTTTCAGGAAACATTTCTTGTGGTTCTTCAAAGCCTAGTATAATCATATTCAGTTTGTGGGTTTATTTCTGATAACACACCAGAGTTATAAATTCACAAAATCATAGACTCCTGGGATTTGATGGGAAAAGGGGACAAGAGCTTATAAAGCATCTACTATGAGCTAAGAAATTGTACAGGATTTTAGTTTTTATCATATCACTGAGAGACAAGCAACATGATAATTATTATCCATATTTAATATCTGTGGAAACAGTTCAATAGAGTAAGTGTAGAAAGTTATTTTTCCAAGATTTTCAAGTTAAATGTTGGAGCCCATGTCTAATTTACTCAAAACCCTGGGTGCTTTCACTAAGAGACTGTCCCAGACTAATGATCATTTTATTATGAGGCAACATTGACCTAAAATCAGGGCAATCTTTCCAAGTTTGCATTGCTATTTAGTGTGTAAGTCCTGGCTCTGGTGCTAACTAGCTACTCACCTGAGGCAGGTTAAAAAAAATCCTCAGGCTCTGTGAATCCTACTTCTTCATTATCAAAAATTATGTAGCAAGATTCTTAAATCACAACAAATTCAGGAATCCAACTCTAGATGTATATACAATACAATCTTATGCCTTTAATTCTCAGCAGAGCTCACCTAGTGACTGATCATAAGCTTGAGTCGAATTTCCCTAATAATTATATCTTTTTAATGTATCAAGGCTTAAAAATGCCTGTTGCATTATGATTTATTTTTCTGACTATATTTATTTGCTGCAGATGAGTATATGTTACCAGATATGAACATTTTGCATTTTACCCCTCTTTTTCTTTACCAGAAGCCCAGTACCATTTAAAACTTAGCCCAGTACTATTTAAAATTTTTATTTATTATTGTTACATACTATAATTTTACAGGCAATTTAATTGAATTTTTTAATAATTTAAAATGTTTCTTTTCTAGCTTTATCGGAAAAAGCTCAAATACACAGTATGTATATTATTTCAATCATAAAACTTGCATAGAACTTTTACAAAATATTTTAAATATTTTCAATAATATATTTACAATCTGTGCCTTTGTATTTATGCTTTATTTCAGCCCGTGCTTTGGAAATTATCAGTGTTTGAATGTCAATAAGAATTATTGATACGCTGTTTTTATCCAACCAAAATCTTTTAAGTTTTTATTTAAATGAGGATGACATGAAAAGTTAGGAACAACTTTTCTCCATGAGCACATTTGTTAAAATCTGTCAGTTGTTTTCTGCTTAACAAATCACTGGACCAAGTCACAGAGAAAATTCACTATGTATTAATTTATAAAGCTTCTAAATATCTGAAAAAATTTTTCTTGTTATTATTTTCAGAACAAGAAATGGTGAAACCAGAAAAGACTGTTTCTCAGGGTAAACCAGGTATTTTGCAGGTGGTACTGTAGTATCAAATTATCTCTCAATGTTCTAGTGTTAGCAGAATGAGGAGCTTAGAGTTAAATCTAAAATTGTTAAGGTTGATTCATGTCTTAAGTCATTCAGCTCCTAGAACATCTTTAATTTTAGTCATCTTCACAGTGTTTTTTTGAGTTGAGAACTGGACCTGCCCAGTGTATCTAGATAGCTCATGATCTCTTCCATCAGAGATATCTTAGCACAAAGACCATCATTGCCAGCATTCAGGTGAATGGGCTCTATATTTTGATTTGTTTTGTTCTGTTTGGGGCAAGATATTCCTAAAAGACTTGTAATTCATAATGGCTCTTTCAAACATGATCATCTTAGATTCCAAAAATCCTAAGAAAGAAAATCAACATTTCTCCCCTCCTGTTTCTGTTTTACAGAAACTGTAAAAATAGAGAAAGCAGAGCTAATTGTGGGGAGGTGAGAACAGATGTCTGTATTGACATAAGCAAAACCTTAGAAACAACTTTTAGAACCTTCTAATAGAATGAATAATAAACACTATTACTTTCTTCACTGTCCCAAATGTCGACAATTTTTTGTGGTGAAATACTGAGAGACTGAGAGAGCATAGTCTCCAAGCATGTAACAAGTGCACTGCCCTCCAGCCACACCTTCCTTTAATTTCAGTGATAACCTTCATACTCTAAATTCTCTGCTTCCTGGTGAAACTTTTTAATTAGGATATTTGACTAACTGATTCATGTCCACAGCTGAATACTCAAAATGTTTAATTTTATACATAATCATTATGATAATCCCTCTACTTTGGCCCACATTTCTTTGACTGTGTTTATAAAGACACAGAGCACAGAAGACATCCCATAAATGTACCACTTTTGCCCTTCCCAGCTTTATACCATAAAAAACTAGGGTTTCCAAGGGAACCCTCAGTTCTCAGGGAGGGGTCTTTCTCAGGAAAGATCAAAAATTGTTTCTTCCCATTCTTCTTCAGTGATGAAAAGGGAATACATATTTCACATGTACTTCTGTGTAGATCAATACACTGACATACAGTGAAGGCAAAGGGTAGAGTGTGCATTGGCAAGTTAGGGGACCATTCAGATCAGGAGCACTTCTACAGCAAGATGGATGCAAAGATATGTGCAGCTGAACGTATTTTCTTTGTGCTCCCATCCAATTTGAAATAAAAGACATCACTTGCTGTCTTATTGAACAAACAACTAAGTTCTTCTCAGTATTGGTGTTAACTCAAAGAGTATCAGGGTTGAAATATGTGACTGTTTTATGCTGAGGCATTTACAATTTCCACTTGTGTTAACATTTTTTCCTATCACAGATGAAAAAGTTGCCAAGCAGGTAAAAGCTACCACAATAGAAAAAACAGGTAAATAAGATACTTCGTATTTTTCTTCTGTGTGTCAGTTTTATCTTTTAGTCCAAACACACATACACACACCACTACCCCTTACACACACACACACACACGCAGTTCATTGAAGTGTGTTCACTTTTAGTGCCATAAATTCTCAGATTCTGGATTCTTGTAAATAACTAAAAGATGCACTCATTAAAAATTAACAGTGGAAAACTAGAGTGACATAACTATTTTTTTAAAGTGTGATTGACCTAAACTTACATAACACTTATGGAGAAATTCATGTCATGCATTGATTATCATGTCCTAGTAGGTGTTTAATCTAATTTTCAAACCACATTTCTTCAAATATTAAAATCACAAAAATCTGAATCTGTCTGCTGTTCATGTATTAGAAGGAATAATTTCCATTCATGAGAGCTCCACAGAGAATTATGTGATTGTATAACTTTTAAAAATCTGCTTTAAAGAATGATTGATAGAACATATAATATCAAAGCATTATTTCATGTGAGAAAAAAAGGAGCGTACGCTCTTGTAATCCTAAAGTTCTTTCTTATAAGGATGAACAAAATTAAGTCTTCATCTCAAGTGACACCTTGTAATACTAAATCTCCTCCATTTGATCCCAAGATGGAAATCCTACCCACCTTGGCCATGAATAGAGCCCCATTTCTTAAATCATTCCAAAAGAAAAGGCTTGTCAAGTAATTTCTTTCTTTTAGCTGAGATAATCATGATAATCAGGATTTAAATACCGTTCTTAGAGGAAAATACAATAGAATTCAGGAGAGAACTAATTATTCATAGAAATTACGGGCTATTATTTCATGAGAAAGAAACCTCATAAGGCTACTTTCACATTACCCCACTGGACCATTGTACTGTATTCTAACTATTGACTAGGCTCATAATTTTAGTTAACATTCATCTAATTTGGACCCTAAGGTGTGTTAATATGACCCCTGAGTATCTCATTTAATTATATGGGTATTTGGAGATTATGAAGAAACTAGCCCAATATATTTGTTCCCCAAATATATAGATTGTTTCAAATTTTACATACAACTTTGTGTGTCTTAGTTTTTCAGTGAACAGTATAATTAATATATTTGCTGACAGTGAAATGATAGTGCTCACAGAGAGAATGCATTAAGCTGAAGATAAGGAGAGAATTTAAAATTAAGAAGAAATAAGTACAAATGCTAAAATGTTATTTTTTCCGTGATTTGTATTTATCATATGCTGTTTACTTTCTTTCATTCACCACAGTCAAACCCAAACCAGCAAGTAAGAGATGAAAATAAAATCTGAAAAGTGTCATTTGGCCATTTCAACTCTAACAATTTGCTTGTTTTTTTTAACACTTTTTTTTTTTAGTATTGCCTAAGGCTAAAGTACCACTATAGGTGATAAGTTACTGTCATTGCTATGGCTTTGATTTAACATCTTTGTCTTTCACTACTAATTAATAATACACCATAATTACACAAATGAAATCTCTGGAAGTTGTACTGCTATTATTGGGTAATACAATATATATGGGGAATCTTTTAAACATACATAATGAATAACAAAGGAAAATAAAATGATATACTATTTTTGGTGTTATGAGCCACATACTGTTTTCAATTAATTTGCTTTAAACAGCAAAAATTATACTATAGGTAATCTTAGTGTTATGATCCTCATAATTTTATGAATTATAAACATTTTGCTATTTGTTTATTCAAATCATGGAATTCTCATGACCATAGCTTTTAAAGACCATCCATTTTGTTGTTCAGGGATGACACAGATGTTATAGTTGTAGAGAGTTTAAAAAGTGACTATTAGACTCAGAAAATTGTGAACATTTGCCCATTGTCACACAGGTAGTAAATATGTCCAAATTGTGTCAAAATTGTGATGTTGGTTCTTGAATGATACATGTTTTGAAACAGAGGCTTAGATGAAGGTATGAGTGGCTGCTTGTCAAATCGTCTCTTGCTCCTTTATGAAAAATGGATTGACTAGATCCAAAGATGAATTGGGTGAGACCAGTTAGGAGGCCATATTGATGATCCAGGAGATATGGCAAAATACACAGAATCTAAATAGAACATAGTCACCTCCTAGAACCTATTGCATGTAGTTTGAGTATATGTTTTATATTATTATTTTTACTTTAATTTATTATGCTTGTGCAGTGCTATTATTATGACAGTGTAATAACTTGAATATTGGCTTTTTTTATTCTGCATGCTTATTTAACATTAAAACTTATACAATTTAAGCTCATGGAAGTTCATCCTTGAATGCCATCAATTCCTAATTTACAAATATCCGATTAAGTCTTATGACAGCATAGATCCTACATCTCCCCACCTACTTCACTGTTGGTGCAAGATGATGGAGAAAATAGTAGCACTTTCAGAGAACCTCTAAACTCAGGAGGAAAGAAGGAAAGGACAGATAAACGAGAACGGTTCAGGAGAACTAACCTGGACGTGATTAGTAAGAGTTAACACTCAGCAGTGATCTGCTCTGTTTCCAAATATTCTCAATTCCATTGAAAATATCCAACCCTACATGGCTTTATTTGAAATTCCACTTTTGATGAAAGAGGGAGAGAGATATCTCCTAAAATTTATTCTAATTCAAATATTTTCCAGAGGGCTAAGAGGAATATCAATTACACATTTTGATTCCTGGATTCAGCTGAGATTCATCCGTGAGAGTTCTAACTGGACCTGAAGAGAGGGTGGTCCAGAAAAATGGAAATCCAAGGGGTGGTACTTTCTGGAATAAGGGAGGTTTGGTTAAATTTTCAGCGGGAAAATAATGACCAGCACCAAATTGCCTCTGACCTGGCAAGAAGCGAACTAGGAAGAGTCAGAGAGGTAAGAAGGGAGCTTGTAAAATGCCAACGGAAAACGTCATCTGCTTTAAAATATCCCCAAAGAATGACTCAACCTTCAGAAAGAAAAATCCTCTTATTATTATTTCTCCTCTTTGTCATATTCTGTTCTCATCTTCTTATACCACATGGCCCCAAGAGGCCTAGCACCTTTGTAGTATGCTACAGGATGCCCTGTGAATGAACCTGACCTTGTTTATAATGTGTTTCTATGGCAATATGCTTTGTGTGTTTCAAGTTACATGCAAATGACTTTGGGGGCATGCTTCCCATATAAACTGAGGATCCCCTGCAAACATATAAATAAGAAATGCTTGCTACACAAACAATCCACAAATTGCCAGTTAATTTTCATTTCTCTCTCTAGAAAAAGCTGAACATCAGAAAAAGAATCTCCATCTCTAAAAACAGGTGTTTTTGCCTTTTTGGTTTGCATTCTGTCATAATTCACTATTTTTATTAAATTTGAAAATTAAAGCAAAGCATTTAAGTGCTTTTCACTTTATTTCCTTGTACTATTTATTCTTGTGGTTTTGTAGTAAAATCTAGTTTATCTGATGCAAGGGCTGTGATACTGTTGACAAGCATTTTGCTAAATATTGTAACCAATATATATGGATTGCCAAAAATGCTTTTGTAATGCAGCAGTAAGACAATGGTATTTGCTTTTATGCTTCACAAGACCCTTCCAAAATATTCAGTATTTCACCATTGTCTGTAAAGTTGATTTACTCTTGATAGTACTATAAAATATCCTATCAAATTATACATATTACATTCCACTGAACACTAATCATGAATTTCAACTTGGTATATCTTCTAAAAATAGAATTTATTCCATTCTATAATGGTTTAATATTTTAAAAATATTATTCAATTTTTAAACTATATAATATTTGACATGGTTCAATACTAAGGCATATAGGAGGTTAACAGAAAAATCCCTTCCTCTCCTCTTTATTCTTATTCTACAAGTTCCCATTCCCAAAATACCTAATAATGCCCAATAAGTAATCACTACTATTTCTTAATATATCTTTCTAGCAATATATATAAAATATAGACACATATATTATATATATACATGCCTATACACAAATTATACATATATATTTCTTGCTTTTTTTACACAAATCATGACATACTATAGATAGTTTTGTCCCTAAGTGTTTCCATTTAAGAACGTATTTTGAAGATTTTTTGTATCAGCACATAAAACATTTCTTTATTAATAATATTCCATTGTATAGTTGTACACAGTTAACTAGTCTCTGACTGACCTATGTTTAAGTGGTCTAACAAGCTTTCTTTAATGATATACAATAATAAATATAAGTGCTTGTCTAGTTTTGTAAATTTATCTTTGGGGTAAAATTCCTTAAAGTAAAACTTTTTGTGAAATGATATATTCAATGTAATTTTTATAAACATCTTTAATTGTTCTCTTTAAAAAGTTGTATTGATCTGTATTCCCACTGTTAATTAGTTGGTTGACCTATTTTTGGATGGTTCAAATTCCTCACAATCATGAGGAAATGCTGTCTAGTTTTTTATGAATAAATAGATATTTACATGTAAGACTTCATAATGAATGCTTTTAGTTAATGTTAGAAGATAAAGTATTTTGGAGAATGATATCATGTATTTAAATGCTATAGTTCTGTGTTTTTCACCTACCATTCTCTTATTCTCCCTGAGATTTCATAAAGTCAGCCTCTTCATTCAAAATACTGGATGGGAAGCATTTAAATAATTAATATTTATTAATATTAATGTGTATTCTGAAAAGACAATGGCAGATTATGCATTTTATGCCATTCAGAAACAGTAAGGAGTTCAGATTATCATGAGCATTTATACTGCTTCAAATCAAAGATGAAGTTTTATAGAGATAAAGAAGAAACCAAGAAGTTTCTATGCTTTGATGCTCAACAACTTCTTTGGGGAATTCATTGGAAATATGACATAAAAATTACTCAAAGTGTGTTGTCTATTGCTCATTTTAATATAAATTGAGCCTATTCCCATTTTAACTCAAACAGAATAAGGAAATATAAAGGGCTGATATTTCACCCATAGATAGAAAATTATCACTGATTTTCTTTTCTTGTCTTTCTTTTTTTTTTACTTTTTAGACAAACCAAAACCAACTTCAAGTAAGTGAATCATTCTAGAATTTTAAGAATTTACTATTTAATTATTTTAATCTTATAATTTCTTTAAGTTGTACATGCAGTAAAACACCTGAGCCTGAAAACTTTGAGAAGAAGGATTTGGGTGGTACGAGGGGGCCTTGAAGACAAAGAGAGACAATAATACACATAAGGAATCATCAAGATAGGAGGACTTGGAGCTTAGGAGTAGGTAGGTTTTTATTAGAGTCATAATACTTGTTGAAACAAACATGGTGTGGAAACTGGAGAACACAGAGAGACATGGATGGGCTCTGACATAGATGACACAGAGGTCCAGAGGCATCATCCCATGAATGATTAGGCCTAAGCTCCTTTGGCTACCGTGAGCTTGCTGTCTGACCTCAGGCAGAAATATCTCCGATACTGTAATTCTTGGGAGTGACCCATTAAAAATTCGCTTATTTTTTTAACCTTTACTTTGACTACAACATAAATATATATTTACAGAGAGAATCTCTCTCCATGTCAATAAGAGTTGTTCTTTACAATTTGTTATGGGTTGAACTGTGTCCTTAAACCGATACGTTGAACTTAACTTCTGGGATCTCAGAATGTGATCTTATTTGAAATGGGGTCATTGTAGATGTAATTAGGTAAGACAAGGTCATGATGGACTAAGATGGGCTTCTAATCCAATATGATCAATGTCTTTATAAGAAGACAGTGTGAAGACAGGCACCCAGGGAGAACACCATGAAGGCAAGGTTTGCAGTTACATAGCTGCAAGCCAAGGAATTTTAAGGACTGCCATCAAACCGTGAAGCTAGGGAGGGGCAAGGAATGATTCCATTACAAGACTTCTAGCTTCCAAAACTGGGAGACAATAAATTTCTGTTAGGCCACTCATTTTTGATACTTTGTTTTGGCAGCTCAAGGGAACGAGTACACTTTATTTTTCCCAAGTGCATCTTAATAAAACAAACAAAAAAATTCATATTTTTGATGCAATTGCAGATTTAGAGAATAGTTGCAAGAATGTTGCAAAAAATTACCATATATCCTTCACCTGAAAAACCCCAAAAAGTACGGTATGTTTATTAATGCAGGAGCCATTATGCCATTGCCAATATAGATGGTTCTGACAGATCAACAAGGAATATTGTCTGTATTGTATTCATTAATCCTTGAACATGTATTTATTGAGCACCTGTTAGATACATTACACTGTACCAAGGGTATATGAGGGAATGCCTAAAATGACTTCTGTTGTCATATCTGTCACAGTTACCCTAAGTAATATCTGTGCAAAAAAAAAATGGTTGCATCTCTCTTTTACATACTTTCAGTTGTTAGAATGTATTGAGTAAACACAGTATGGAGATCCCTCTAATAGTCACTGCTGGGTTAAAAAATTCAGAACACAGAATAGTAATCTTAACATATTAGCTTTTTATTTTTATGTTCTTTCAAAGGCTAAAGGTGAGTCATTTTACTATTTCAGAATCACTGTTTTGTTTTGACATTTCAAACAATAGTAAAAGTATAACAATTTATGAAATTTTATGTAATTTCATAAAAATGAAATTGTCTATTTAATACTGTTAAATTATGACCCAGATATTACCCTGAAGGAAAATATTTGCATTTCAGCCAAGAGTGTATCTAGAAATTGTATCTAAAACTCTCTCGTGTATTTAGTTTATGTTATTGCTACTAACACGAATGGTATTACAAAAAATTGAGTTGAAAGTCAAAACTAGAATGCTAATATGAAATATCACCATAATTACTTGCAAGTACTATTCTGTTTATGGAATATTTTACATCTTTATTCTTATAAAATATTTTAATTAATTTTCCTTGAATTTTGAAATTAGCTTCTAAAAAATTTATATTAGACAATTAAATGTATCACTTTTATAGAATGTTATTACTTGAGCTGATTTGTGAGGAAAGATAAATTTTTAAAAGTCTCCCAAGTTAAATTTTTAAAAAATAATTTGTCTATGAATTTACTGAAGGAGCAAAATTAAAGACTAGGTCTACATTAGTATAGGTTAAAGATAAATAACGTTTTTGTATCTTGTCTCACTTCTCTGACTGTAATCACCATGAGCTGGGTTTATTTTTGTGATTTTTTTAATCTCATCTCACAACCCCATCCATTGCACTTAATACAATATCGTACACAAGTTGCTTTTTAAATATTTAATGGATGAATGCATGCATGTGCATGTGAAGATCATGTTAAAAATGTGTGTAATGAAGACTTCTAATTTGTAACTGAGAAAAATCACCCAAACAACTTTAAATTGATTTACTCTACCATATACAGACTGCTTAAGATTAGTGTGTAGAGTAGTTCTATTTTCAGAATGGATTCTAGTTACAGATTTAAGAAATATTAGTTACCAGTATGTTTCTTTACCACTTTGGGTATGTGTCTGTTGTCATTACTATTGGAATTTAATAGGAAATATCTGAAGATGAGGTTTGACTGTCTGTTACTAAAAAACAAAATTATTCTTTCCTTTTATTCCTATTCCTTTTATTTCTATTTTTTTTCCTAAAGAGAAAACATCAGAAGTTACAGAGTCAGGTAAATATTTACTTTTCCAGGGGAGGTAACATAGATCCATGGGAACAGCATATAAATTTGAGTCCCTGTCTATCTGTGTAACATTTGGGACAATCCTTTAATAGCTCAGATTCCCAGTTTCCTCACCTATAGAACAAGCATAAGGCTGGTTGTTATAAGTATTAAATAAAATAATACACATACATCCCTACTACATACTTGGTTGTCACTCATTAAATATTGGTTCCCTTCTCACTCTTGTCTGATAATTATAGTTGAAGGAAGACATCAATCAACCAAAACTCTATTTTGGAAAGCATGTGTCTACATTTTGTTTGGAGATATGTTGTGACTCTTACATTGTTTTTGACCAATAGTTTATTTAGCATCCGTAGCACCAGTAAAATTCTCATTTCCTAAAGACAGCAATATAAAATTTAGATGTTTTTCCTGTTGTTACTCGTTTAAACATAATAAATGCGTGGTTTACTCTAGTTTTATTTCCAAGTATGTAAAAAACAGAAACAAAAATCAAAGGGAGGAGACCCTGCTTTATAGAGGATAACAAAGGATAACAAAAATACATATGTTACTACGGATAACAAAAAATATATATGTTCTCACATATGGAGGGAGACTTTTTCTTCACATTTTGAAAAAGCAGAGACCTGACTGACCCCTTTACACTTATGGGATTAAATTTCATCTCCAAATGTTTATTCCAAGATTGGGTAAGAAAATTATGTGTTTTTAAGCTGGTGGTTTCTTACTATTTTTCTTCCCTCTAGTGAAGACGAAAGTTGAAAAATCTGAAAAGGAAAGTAAAGGTAAAGACATTTTAAGACATGTATATAAAATTAGCAATAAAACCAGAAATGAGAAATATGTAATTATGCAAATTATATCCCTTAAAAGCAATTCATGAAAATATGGACAGTGATTTTAAACCATGTATTTGAATTGCAGCTCATGGTTGAGTTATACATGCAAGTGGCATAGGTACTGCATGATTATTAGATATTTAAAGGGAACAGAAATTTAGATCCCTGCCTGTTATTACTAAATTAACACCACAGAATTCTTCTCACACAAGTCCTGGATTGTGAATACTGACTACACAGTATGTAATTCCAAACCTTAGGAAGACCTACGAATAAATGTATGACTCTAATTACCATTTTATCTCTATAGAAAAAGCAGAAATGAAACATCTTAAAGGAGAAAAAGGTAATGTTTTAAAGATTAAAAAGCCCTGAAGCTAAAATAATTTGAGTCAAAGTTTATCTCAATTTTAAACAGAACTTTTGTTTATGTATGTGACGATTAAAAGAAGAAACGTGGTAAATAATAGGTGGCTATGTGGTAATGGCAGTGTCAGAAAGCAGTGGATGGCAGGCCACTCCTGCCATATGCATTCATGTTGTGTCATTGGTGAGCAACTGGTTAAAAGCTGCATTGCAGTGTTGCTTTTTTAAAAAAAATATTGTGTTTATTTATGTAGTAAACTACATAAATATAAAATGATACTCATTGATTTCCATGTAGTTATCTAAAAATCTTACAAAGCCCTTGATTATTAAATATCCTATTGGGTCAAGAGGAAAGCATTCTTTGATATATCAAGAAGATTGTTGATAACAAAAGAAGGCACTTCTTTTCTGGTTTAATCCTTAAATTCAGATAATCAGAATGATCCACTGTCCATGGATTCTTAATCACTGAATACTATGTAATCATTGCATTCATGTTATATCTCTATTTATGCAAACAAAACAATCTCTACTGTTAACATTTATATTTGTTAGGTATTAGTAGAAGAAAAATATTTTAAATCACCCTGAGAAAATATGAACAACTTTAAATTATTCTCATGTTGCTAAAGCTTAGAGTTAAATTTTTATGAAAATTTGCTTAAAATTTGTATTTCAATTTACTTTTTATTTATATATAGTACCAACAAGAAAAGAAAGTCTTCAATCACACAATGTGACAAAAGGTAATCATGAACTTTGTAAACGTTAAATGCTATGTTGATGGGGAAGTGCCTGAATTATGTTGTCACTTAAAATTAACACTAAATTTTTTAAAGCAAAGAAGTCTAGCAGGTATATACTTCTGATAACAGCAGAGGACGTGATGAGGTAGGAAGTCTAGCAGGAAGCTTACATTTCAGTGAAAAACTAGGAAATGTGGAGAAACAGGAACTAGTAACAACACAAACATTCAGTAAGATATTCCAGTACACAGCAGAAGAACAGTTTTATTGCAAAAGGCTTTTGCAGCAAGACTATAGTCAATGACAGGATGGTTAAAAACAGATGGAGCTAAGATTCATTTTATCTATGACTACATAGATAGCTAATGTCATGAATATATTTTTATTATTTACAAATTGGTCCTTTAATTCAACGAAGACACAGAGTGGCTAGTGGAGGGCAGATGCCAACATGCACATGGCAGGTAGATGTTCTTTACCTAAAATGAGAATGACCTATTGTGGTGATATTATCATAAAAAATATAAAGGGACAATTGAATTATGGAATCTGGGTGATAAATTCTAAACTGCTGAGGAAACATGCCGTGTTGAGCAAGAATTTTCATTCATAGTAAATACACAGATCTCGTGTGTGTGTGTGTGTGTGTGTGTGTGTGTGTGTGTGTGTGTGTTGTTGAGGGTGGTCTTGTTTTTCACTGGTTCCCTGTTGCTGCTTACTGTAGTATGTATACCTGAAAGGGTAGGACAAATCTAGGCATAATTATCAGTAATATTAAGGAGTATAATTTAAAATAAGAGAGCAAATCAAATTTGTAGAAAGATGCAGAACTGCAATTTTTATATTGAAACTTTCTCCAAAATATTGCTTGATGTATTTTAAGATAATCATCCAGAAGAATGAAAAGAAATGGATTACTTAGAAAACCCATAGCTATTTCCTTTCCAGTTTTTAGTTCAATTCCCTCTTTAATAAGGACCAACTATAATCCCCAGTTTAAAGATGAGCTAATGTTTGATGAAAGGAAGTTTAATATCTCAGAGCATTTACATGGTAGAGTTAAGAATTGGCTCCAAGCCTGTTGGTGCCAAACACTTACGCAATTGCGCCAGTTCAACCACTTTTTACTGTATTATCACACAGTGGCAAAGGGAAGCTTTCCATCAGTCAAATAAAATGTACCCCACTTCATCCACAAGGAAGTGGTCTATTAGAGCTAAGACTAGAAGGCAGTACAAAGGATTCTTGGATCCAGACATTGAATGGATACTCCTTTTTACTCCTTTCTGTGAGTCCATTGTTTCTAAGGTCTTCATGTTATGAACACACACCTGGGAAAAATTATTATATGTAAAAGCACGAGTTCAGCCCAGAGCTAGTTGAGAATGCAGGCACATTCTTAATCATACTTTACTCAACAAATAGTTCATTGCATCTCAGTAAATGTTTGTTTTATTCCTTTCTAAGTTCTCGTCTTTTTAGCCAGTGCCAGTATTTTTAAAGGAAAAATAATAACACATCAGCCTTTCTAAAGCATTTTTCTGAATTACTTTATTTGTTTTGCAATTTTATACATGAAATATGCTGCTGTTATATTCCTAAAAGCATAAGTATCCCAAAGGAAAATGTTTTTAAAAAATCTTTCTGTTGCTATAACCTAATTTTTATAAATTTATAATTCTTAGGGTTATATCAGAGACTCTACAAGTCTCAAAGGAAAACATGATAGCCAGACATCTTAAAAATTTTATTTTCAAGCCTAGCCTTTTAAATTAGACTAATGTTAATGAAATATAGATGTTACCAATCCTCTTTTTTTCAGAAAATTAGAATTTCTGCTCTAGTATTTGGGACAACTATTCACTTTATATCTTTGCCCTATATCCATACAGCTTAATGGGAAAACGTATTGGAGAAATATAGTCTCTCACTGAAACTAACAAATAAATAATTATGAAAAATTAAACTGTTTATTGCATGTTGTTTTTTAAGATTTATATTTTACAGTCTAATTGGTAGCTATTTGTCTCTATTCATCTTTGAAAGGAAAATAATTCTCAATAATACATTTTATGGTATTTGGAAACTTTAAAGCAAATATTTAGATTAATTACATCACACAAAATAACTTCACTGGAGTTAAGGATAATTATAGTTAAACTAAAACAAATTAACAGGGATCCTGCTTATTTTAGAAAGAGTGTATGACACCTGTAATGATTAATAACTTTTTTAATGTCTCACATAAAGGAGATTAAGGTACTCAAAGACCCATGTTCTCAGGCAATAGAGAGCTACATTTCTTCACTAACTCCCAAACAATAAGGAAGAAAGTCAACAGATATTAGATCTTTTATATAGTCTACTGATGTATAATTTCTTTGCATTCTACCTGAGTTAAACAAAACTTCTTTTCTTTTTTTTTAGCAGAAAAACCTGCAAGAGTGTCAAGTAAGTACGTCTTGCGTTGATGATAAATTCTCTTTGGCACACAGTATGAATTTCAGGCTGAAATTCATAAAATATTTATTTTTTAATGTGTTCAGGGATTGAGTCATTTCATACTAAATCCTCTGATAGGAATTTGATAATGTTTAATCTTATGTCGAAACTTAAAAACAAAAGTAAGTTATTTGAAATGTTAACTTGTAGCAAAAATACCTTATGTTCTTGAGCCTGAAGTTAGTGGCTTGCATTCAAATACATAAATCTGTTTAGTGATTGAAACAAAATATGAAACAATAAAACAAAATAATCCTGCTTACTCACTAAAAATTTACTCTAGAATGCATGTAGTTGAGCAATAATGTTTTCTTAGCTTCTATTTTCTAATGTTCATTAACCTTAAATTATATATATCAAAAGAATACATAAGGGATGGATTTAGTCTCATATATTGTAAACAGATCAAATGCTCAGAAAACACTCTCTGAAATATCAAGATCGAGGTATTGATAGAAGCTCAAAATATACAGGATACAACTCTAACTTTTCCTAGAAGTTCTGAAAATTCTGGGAAATAGCAATTTTCCTCCCCACATTTCCAAATTTAAGAAAAAAAATCATTTAAATCAGTGCTATCAAACTCATCATGTGAGCCACTTGCCTAGTTTTAAATTTTCATATAGACGTCTTAAATGAATAAAAAGAAACAAGGTGAACATAATTTTAATAATGTTATTTAACTATCTACAAATATTACTTCAGCATGTAATCAATACAGACATGTATTGATAGTTTACATAATTTTTTATTGAGCCTTTGAAATTGTGTGTGTAGTTTCCACTTGTACTGCAATTCAACTAGCCACATTTTAATCCCTACAGCCCAGGTGGTCAGAGAATACTGCACTGGACTGAGCAAGTCTCAGTGTTTACTGAGTGCTTCTACTGTGCCCAATATTTAGTGAGTACTGAGGACAAATACAAGACAATCATTAAATGAGGTTCTCACGAGGTATCTCATTCGAAGTTCTTTGACTAGACTTACTAAAGCCCCACGTGGACTTGCTCCAGGCATTTTTTGAATAGGAAAATAATTACAAGGGTACAGAATTGTTTCACGGATGCAAGAGCAAAACTTACATTTGATTCTCTGGAAATCCCTCTGAAATTATCCCACTCTGTACCCTTCCCCTATGGCCAGAGATAGTCAGGGCAGACATTATGGAGGAGGTGTTTCCAGAATTTGTGCTTGAAGAATGATTAGGAATGGATAATTGGGAAAAGAAGAAAGAGAGTGTAAGGAAAAATTCACTTCTCCTGTGTTTCCCATTTATTCTCACTACTACCATGCTCCTAACACTTCTGACACCAGACATGTAGGGTTTGTTTTTTTTTTCCCACACCAAGTGATTCTCTGTGACACTAGCTGGATGTCCTACAATGCAATTAGATTCTGATATTAACTGAAGTTAGCACATCATAGGTTAAGGACTCAGTCCCATGGGGCACCTCAAAGTCAGATGCCAGTCTAAATAGTAGGTCCCCGGGTTATCCACAACTTCTGTCCTTCTTGGCTACAAATAAGAGGCTCCATGACACCTCTCTCTTGGATTAAATTATTTGCTAGAACAGCACACAGAAATCAGAGGAACAGCTACTTTGGTTTACCAGTTTGCTTATAATAAAAGACATGATAAAGGATACAGATAAACAGCCAGAGAGATCACAGGGCAAGATCCGGAAGGGTCCCCAGCACAAGAGCTTCTGTCCATGTGGAGTCAGGGTGCGCCACGCTCCTGGCATGTAGATGTGTTACAGTAACCCAGAAGCTCCTTGAACTGCGTACTTCTGGGACTTTCATGGAGGCATCATCTCATAAGCATCATGCTCGGCTCGTTAACTCAGTCTCTAGCGCTCTCCCCTTCCTGGAGGGGGCAGGGTGGGGCTGAAAGTGCCATGCTCCTAATCGAGGCTTGGTCCTTCTGATGATAAATCCCTACCCGGGGGCCCTCCAAGCATTGCAAAATTAGAACAAAAGACTCTCCTGTCACCCAGGAAATTCTAAGAGCTCTATGCCAGGAACCGGGAGCGAAGACCAATATATATATTTTCCGTTATTTCACAGTAGGGGATCAAGAAAGCAGTGAGAAGTAAGGTCTGTAGGATGACACTAGGAAGCAGAGAACCTGCAGGACAAAGGATTTTAGACTTACTGCCACAGAAGGCTATGCTTTGCTTTACATAAGGGAGTGAATGTGAATGAATTGTCGGGAAGTCTAAATAAGAGTACTAACTGAAAAGATGTGAGGAAAAAAGCGTTATTGCTTTTGATGGATCATATGAAATAAATGTTTAGGGCATCCTGAAATGATACATTTAACAAGTTGGTTTCTGAGTATATGAAGATTATATTTTTATAGCACATATTTCTGTTTTATCATGCCTTTTCAGAGGCAATCATCAAAAACCGCCTGAGATATTTATCAAATAGAACATACTAAAGATAATTTAAACTAAGGAATCATTGTATTTTTTTCTGAAATCTTTTTCAACATTATGTACATGCTGGTTTTTTTGTCAGACTTCTAATTTATTTTCAGTTATTTATTTGTCTTTCACTAAAGAAGGTTCACAAAATACCTCCAACTTTGAGCCTATTGCTTCTTTCCAACCACATCCTCTACCCTAATGCCTGTATCACTTGTCTTCTGAGCAGGACCAGGTTCTCCATCTCTGAGGTCATGTTTTCTGGTTTGATGCTGGATGCACAGAGACCATAATTCATTCCCAGATTTTTTTTGGTAGGATTGGTAGATATTGTTACTATTTGGAAAAAGACTGATGCAAAAGAGAGGATAGGTATCTCTTTCTGAATTCTTGTGACTCGCTCTGATTGAGAGTCTTGAAACTATCCCAGGGGACTGGATTCTCTAATATCTAGGGTTTTATTATAGGGATAAAAAAGAATCAGCAATGCATGAACATTTCTCTATTACATCAAAGAAAATAATATTGCAAAATCAAATTTTCTGTGTTTCACAGATGATTATGGTTTAATCAATGTTTGTTTGTGGGTTTACTTTTTCAAAGGACATAGTTTATTAATTTCTAAATAGTCACTTAATTTTCATTCTGTATCTTTTTTTCTTTGCCGATACAGTAAAAATAACAAATAATTAGCTTTTTACTTGGTTTGGAGGAAGACATCTCTTAGACTGTATTATAATATTTAAGACTTATTACCTTAAAAATTAAAAGCAAAATAAATATTCACATTCTTGAACTTTAAATAGTGTAACCATTTCTTACTGATATTGATAGTTTAAATCTTTGTAATGTTTTTTCTTTGGAAACAAAACTCTGAAATTCCTATAATATCATTCCCCAGGAACTTGCCCAAAGGCAAAATATGAAGTGAAACAAAGGATGAGAGAATACATTATTAAAAAGTAAATGGTGCCAAGGGAAGGCTTGTACCTAGAAGAGTCTCAAGACTCTTGACATAGCTGAGACATTGATAATATGTTTATAGCAATGGCTGTTGGGTTTTCAAGGAAAGAGATTTTACTAGAAATCCATAGTTCTTTTGATCTTATTTCCTAGTAGTCAACATTTAAGTAAAGTTAGGTTGGCTTGCCCATCAAAATGAGTATTTTAAAAGGGGTGATATAGTAAGAACATTTCATGAGATGATTCAGTGGAGAAACATAACTTTGGCATCTTCTTCTGATGTCAGCTTTTAAATCCCTTATAACATTTTTATCTGATTGTGAATAGTGAGATTTTTACTTATTAGCATCTTGTCTGATATTATAATTATTCCAATTTTATTTTTGTACTGCATCCAGTACAGTGACCTTTACTTTTAATTTGATGAATTTAGACAACTTACATTTGTTGTATTCTTCACATCTTAGGTTTAGTTATTACCATTTTACTTTTTGTTCAACATTTCTCATACTCTCTCAATGCTTGTTTATATTATTTATGGTCTTGTACAAATTGAGAGCTTTTCTCTTTTAAATATTTTTATTATCCTTTTTTCAGCCTCAACTGGTCTGAAAATAGTGCTGTTTCTATTTCTATTACTATTACTGAAATAATACTATTTCTATTACTTTCGTTACCCTTGGAATACTGATATATAGGCTAATTTGTTCAGTATTTTTGTTTCTAATTTTTTTTAAAAACTCTGAATGCCAGCTTTAATCAGTATTATTTTTTCAGTCAATGTGTATGTCTTTATCCACATGTTACCAATGTCATTACTTACCATTTCGTTTGCATCTCTGACTTTGTTTTGACATCATACTTCTTCCAGCAGTGGCATCGTTAGAAGTGCCTTGAGCAAAACCCATTGGTGGAAAATATTCTCAGTTTTTATTTATACAACAATGTCTTTAAATCATCCTCATTCCCAAAAGCCTTCTTCTAGGCACATATCTAGGTCACCAGCTGTGCTCTTTGAGCATTTTCAATATATTATTCCTCATTCTTGTTTTTCTTTCTTCCACTGAGGTGGGGGGACTTCTGTGTTTATAGTTGAATTGCCATCCCTTCCTATGTGATCTGTCTTTTCTTTCTGGCTTCTTTAAATGTTTTCTCTTTGCCTTTGCTCTACTACAGTTTCTCTATGCTTTATTGGAATAAGAGCTTTTTATTGTAAAATGCTTTCAGGACATATCTCTTTATATTTTTTCTTTTAACAATTTGAGGGATTTGTGGCTACTATTTCTTCAAATATTATCTCTTCATTTTTTTCCTTCTTCTAATTAGGAATTTGTTAGGTATGTATAATCTTCTTAATAACTCTTTCACATTTTTCATCTCCTGGTGTCTCCATGCCATATTTAGTGTAATTTGATCGATTTTAGCATACATTCACTAATTATTTCTTGAGCCTTATATTATTTTCACTCATCTAGTGAGATTTTTATAATTTATATTTTTGTTATAATAGTCATTTTCCCAATCTTATTGGTTATTCTCATAATCTGTTGCTCATCC